TGTAGGCAAAACTTTTTCTGGAATTCCATAGAGTTAAGGATCAAAGTTTATAATGAAGAGGATCATCGATGCTTAGTGGAGGGAACAGCTGTGCTGCCCACGAGGGATCAAGGGACGGGCTCAGCACAAGGCAAGGTGTCAGGTACACCTGTGATTCCAAACTGCTGGAATCTGATCCATCCCAAAGAGGCTGCTCTGGGGAAGAACAAGGAGGAGTCCCAGAGAATCACTGTCTGCAAAATCCATGTGCACTGGAGTGGGAGGGTGGGGTTGATCCTCTCCCAGCTGTGCTATAAACCTGCAGGGAACAGGGAGCACTGGGGCGGGGGAGAAGTGCAGCTTTGCAGCCTGGGATCGATACACTGGAGTTGTTAATTCAAATTCAAATCCCAAATAGAACTGTAGGGAAACAAGCAAAGAGGCATGGCTCCTGCAGTACTGTGTTGGGGCAGGTGTGCAACATCCACTGGGAATAATGGAACTTGATCTCCCAAGTAATGACGAATTCCTGAAGTGTTTCACACCTCTGGGATGAGCTGGCATCCACCTCCTGCTGCTCCTCAGGGCCAGCCAGGATCCTGGGATGAGTGTCGGTGGGGCCTGGCTGCCCTGGCCATTCCCAGTGCCCGTTCAGGGCGGAACATTTTATGTAGCTGCCGGACCTGTGCCAGGAGCTGAAGCAGGTGCCACACAGGAGTACCCAGTTTCCTGGGAATTCCAGCACAGGCAGGAGGTTTCCCTGAAGGTGAATGTCAGAAATCCCTTTCCTCAGCATTACAGGGAGGGATCCATAGGTTTGTGTTACTTTGCATTTCTAGTTATCCCAAATTCTTCCATGGCTACATGGAAGGAGCATCACTGGGGCTGTGGGTCTTGGGCATTGCAGCCACTGCCAGGGATGGGGGTTGGGCTGGGAGAAGAACAGAAAAAGGGGTTTATGTGGCCTCATGTGGGACTGAGGGTCCTGTGGCTCCATCTGCCTCTTCAATATTCCCTAGTGGTGACTGTGGCCATGAGGTCTCTACTCAAAGCCAGCAGTGGGTCCTGGAAGTGTTTCCTATGGTTCCTGTGGCCTCTGGCTGCAGGTTTGGGGGATTGAACCCCCTGAGGACACAGCTGCTCCCCCAGACACCTGTAGGGTTTGCAGGAAGGTTTTGCAGTGAGTTGCTCTTGAGACTTGTTCTGAGTTGGATTGTGGGAACAGCTTTGGGTGACTGCCCTTGTTCTGTATTATTCCAGTGAACACACCTGGCTGCTCCTCCTCCCTCCCCTCCCTGCCTGTGGAGCTGAGGGACGGGACTCCCGTGGGATTGGCCCCCCAGCTCCAGTTCTGGGGGCTCCCAGAGCTGCTCTTGGTACATTTTCCCCTGGCCCTTGGGATGTGTTTGCTGTCTGAAACATTCCTAGGGATGAGTTCTCACACTTAGGGACACCTGGGGCACAGTTTCCCAATGGATACATTGCAGGAATCCTCAGTGAGAGGGACATTGGGCTGAGCCCCTCCTGGGGACAGGCTGTGGCTGTGCTGCTGTGGTTCCCTAGGGATTGTCCACCCTGATATCCATGTTTTCTTCCCTGAAGCTGTTTTTTCTCACCGGGATTATATTGCACGGACACTTGGTGTGTTTGTGGGCCGGGAATGTCTCCCAGGAGCTCCAGCAGTGCCTGGGGAAGTGTTCCCCATCTGGAGGGAACCTTAGCCCCAGCCAGGGGTGGGCACAGGGTCCCTCCTCCTTCCCATCTCCTGGTCCTGTGTCTCTGGGAAATTCATTTTTCTGGCAGGATTGATCCAGCAGAGCTTCAGCTTGGCTTTTCCCCTTTTCCTTGAGGCCAGGCCAGGTGTTGGGAAGGTTTGGTCCTTGGGAACAGTGCTGTGCTCTGTGGAGTACAGATCCGCCATCTTTGTACGGAGTCTTGTCTGTGTGTGGCAGCTCAAGCTCATCCCAGGGGCAGGAGGGACGTCCCTGCAGAGACCCCATGGCTTGGGAACAGCTGGGGGACCAGGAACACTCCTCTGGACCTGCCAGCTGGGGGTGGGTGTCCAGGTGGGATGGAAAAGGGAGCAGGCATGGGCTGGGTGGGAATGGCTGTGTCCTGCTGCACTCGGACACTGCAGGGGCAGGTGGGGAGGAAAAACAGCCTGGAGCTTGCCCAGGGCTGTGCTCCCATCCCACCACAGCTTTCCTGAGGTTTTCTTGGCTGCTAAAAGACAACCACAAATTTTGCTAAACCAAATTCAGAAATGGTTGCGGGAGAATCCCATGGGTTGTTTCTGAACCCAATTGTTCCACTGGTCTTCCAACCTCCTGCTCTCACCTGTGGCACAGGGAAGGCATTGGGTTTCCCCTCCAGGAGCTGCTGTCCAGCCACTGCACTCACCTCCCTGCGATTCCATTGTTACACAAACCTCCGGGCGTGTTTGTGCTGGAATCCCACCATGTTATGTTGATATTCCCACCCACCCTCTGTTCTTTTCATGTCTTTTCCTGAGTTGTAATTCCCGCCAGGAGAACTGCGTTATTTAATCCGGATTAACCAATTCCTGTAATGCTGCAGTTTCACTCTTTATTTTCCTGACAGTTTGTAACTCCCATGGAAACAAGTCACTTCTCTTGTGTTTTACTGTCGTCTGGTCCCTGTTTTTATCTTCTCTTCACTAATAGTCAGTTTTGGTTGTATCATTTGTTAGAATAAAGACCAAAATATGCTGTTTGATTCTGAAACTGCTCCACCTGTGCAATCCAGGCTTCTCTCTCCGGGACAGCTCTGCTGTGGCTGCGTCTCGGAGCAGGATTGGAGGGGAGGGACAAGCTCATGCTGCTGAGTCCTGCAAGGGCATTTTCTTGGTCATTTTTTAAATAAAATCCTGCATTTTCATTACAGCCTGTGCTTGGCCCTCTGTGAATCCTAAGTTTTGGGGCGGAAGGACACAAAGAGCAGCTCCTGGCACTTGCCTTGAGCTGAGGGATCCAAGGTTGGAACACTGCCTGGAAAGGGGGGGGAAGGAGACTCAAGTTTGCTGAACCGTGTTCAGTAAGTACAGAGGTTTTACCTCCCAAATCCAGCAATGGGCTCACTTTGATCACAACATGGGCTCTGTTCTGACTTGAAGAGCAAAACCTGGAGTGTCTGTAGAGGTTTTATTCCTTCCAGACAGTTGGGTGGTTTTGGTTTGGGTTTTTTTGTTTGTGTTTTTTTTATTTTTCCCTTTTTTTTTTCTTTTTTTTTTGTTTTGTTTGTTTCAGGAGGGTTTATTTGGGTTTTTTTGGGGGGTTTGCTGAAACCAGTGGTGACTTGAGTGACAGCTGGAATGTGAGGCTACTAAATTTTGGGTTGCCATTATCTGCATGAAGCACTTATGGCTTCCTGCCTTCCTCAGAGGTGAGTGGTCATGCTTGCATGGAAATTTTGCAAATACTTTCCTTTTTAAAAATACTTATAGAATCCCAAACTTCAACAATTCCCTACCCTAAACCTAACCCTGCCCTCTGGCAGTGGGAAGCCATTCCCCCTTGTCTTGTTCCTCCAGGCCCTTGTCCAAAGTCTCTCTCCAACTCTCTTGGAGCCCCTTTAGGCACTGGAGGGGGTTCTAAGGTCTCCCTGGAGCCTTCTCCAGGTGAACACCCCCAGCTCTCCCAGCCTGTCTCCAGAGCAGAGAGGCTCCAGCCCTGGGAGCATCTCCATGGCCTCTGGACTTGCTCCAGCAGTTTCACATCCTTCTGCTGTTGTTCCTCAGGGCTGGAGGCAGCTCTGCAGGTGGGGTCTCACCTGAGAGGGCAGAGGGGCAGAATTCCCCCCTCCTCTACTGCCCACACTGTGGGATCAGCACAGCCTCTCCCCCACCAGCACCCCCAAGTCCTTCTCTGCAGTCCCATAAAAACTCCAGATTCTTATTTAAACCCATTTCCCCCCAAGAGCAGAACAACTCATTCTTCAGTGTAACATATTCAACCAGGTTTTAAAGAGATTAACTTGTCAAGTCCTTTTAAAACAGGTAGATGGAATAGAAGTCCCCTCATTCCTTAGAGGTTAAGTTGGGTGGTAGAAATAAATACCAGAAGTTTTCTAGGAACAGGAGTTCAAGTTTCAGGGTTTTATTATCAAAGTTTTGTAAAACAATTTCTGAAACTGTACATCGACATGGCACAGACTGTCGCCTACTTTTGTCTCTTTACCTGCACAAAAGTAAAAGCTCTGGAGCTGCTGGAACTAAGGAACAGCTTGGCTAACTACTCTGCAAATTCCATGGGGTCATTGTGTGCGGGAGGGACGGGACACTGTGGGACAGGAACACAAACTCGATTAGTTTATACAACTTGAGATCAAGTAAAAAGTACATTATCAGGTGGACTTGCTTTTAAAGCAAACCAAGGTCGGTTTAAAATGCACTCCCTGCTGCAGCGGGTGAGCTCCTGAGCAACCACACCTGGGATGAACTTCCACCAACCCTCCATCACTGGGCAGGGCTTCCATTCCCTTCCGGGCAGGGAAACCCATCCCAGCTCGCCCCAGACGGCACTGAACGGACTGAGAGCCCTCAGGAAGGTCAGTGCATTTTAACTCTGGCCAAGCCAACAAAACCCACCAGCAAAACCAAACCAAACCAACCCCAGCACGTGGCTTAAAACCAAAACTAAACCAAAGAGGACAAAAAGCTGGTGGGATCCAAGGCTGACCCTGGTGTGAGGTCACATGTCAGGCTCAGGGGCTGCCCCAGGTGTGCGTTGGTGCCACACTCCCAAGGCAGCCGGAGCATCCCTGCCCTGCTCCCGGGACACTAAAGGGGGACAGAGGGGGTCACACACAGCCCATGCTGGGGGGGGGTCATGCAGCCTCGGCCCCAGCGAGTCCCCCCCACCTGGAGCACGGAGGTCCCTCTATCAAGCTTTGGGTGTGAGTTAGTACAGGATGGACAGACCATGGAGAGCTCGGAGCTGGATACATCTAAGATTGAGGATTAACAAGTACAGATAAAAGAATCACATGGGTGGCCAGGGGGCTCAGTCGCTCATGTCCATGTCCTCCTCGTGGTGGTCATCCCCGTTCACTTTGGATTCCCTGCCGAGGTCCCCACTGCCCTTCTCGGCCCCAGGCTCCTTCCCCTTTGGGGAAGAGGCCTCTGCCAGTTTCTTCTCCTCCTTCTTGTCCTTCTCGCTGTCGTAGCCCTGCTCCTCCTCGTCGTAGTCCCTTGTGACCTGCTTTGCCAGGGAAAGGGACACGTTAGCACAGCCCTGGGGCACTGGGGGTGGGGCACAGGGGGTGTGTGGGCAGGGGGGGCTCCAGGGGTTTATTAAACATACTTTCACGTCCTTGTCGCTCTCGGATTTCCGGTCTCGATCCTTCTCCTTGTCTTTGCTTTTCTTTTTCTTGCTTGTTGACCGCTCCCTCTCATCTCTGCTCCTCTCCTTGTCCTTATCCTTCTTCTTTTCCTTTTTATGCCTGTGATGACACAGTAGAAGGATGAAACTCACCCTCACCCCAGGACTGGAACACATCCAGAGTGTCACCCACAGTTCACTACAAACCCCAGGGAAAATGGCAGCAAGCAATTTAGGGAACACCCTGCACATTCAGAAGACTCCCCAAAATCCCAATTTTTTAGCTCCAGATGTAGCACAACAACCACAAAGCCAAGGCTAAGAACATGGAACATCCCGAGTTGGAAGGGACCCACAAGAATCGTGGAGTTCAACTCCTGGAGAGTAAGAACAGCAATGTGCCAGCGTTCCACAAAGGAGCACCTCGAGCTCCCCGTTCTGGGAGAGGGTCACAAACACCCAGGGCCACCCCAAATCAGGTGACTGCTACTGTAATGAGCCAAAAGGAATGGGAATTCTGGCATCTCCTACTCCCACCACCCCTGGAACAGCTCACCCTTGGCATTCCCAGGCAACAACAGAGCAGCTCCAGCTTGGAGCTGATCAAATGATGCTAAAAGGGGTAACAGGCAGCAGAGATCCACCCAAACACACTCCATCCTCAACACAACACCCCAGGATCTTCCCTATAGGTGACACTTTGGGAATGTCTATCTAGACTCATTTTTTTAGCCACTCCCTGACCTTCTTGGAGACGGGGACCGGGACATTTTCCGTTTGGGAGATCTGGGCTTTTTGGGTGACCGTGTTCCACTCCGGCTCCTCCTGCGCCGTCTTTCTCTGTAGCAAAGACACAGAAGCTTTTCAATAATTTATGATTAAAGCTACAAATACATCTCTTTCTCCAAACCCAGCCCTGTTCAAAGGGTACTAAATCGTTGCTGAAATTACAAGTTAAACTTGGAGGTTTTTTGAAACAGTAACCTTTTGCATATATTTATTCCCTAAATCAGGAAGAGTTCGGCAGTGACCTCAGTGTCACACTGATACAAAGCAAGGAGAAATTGTTAAAGCCCAAAGCATTTACCTCAAAAATAACAGTTTCGGGGGAAGAATAAAGTATCTTATAGACAGAGAGTACATTTGCTTTTGTGCCTGTACCAGATATATCCACAAAGAAATCATCACCCAATGGAATCCTGGAGTACCTTGGCTCGGGAAGGACCTCAAAGCCCATCTCATTCCACTCCCTGCCATGGGCAGGGACACCTTCCACTAGACCAGTTGCTCAACTACAAGAACATTCTTCCTATTTAATATTAAAGTGGATCAAAATCATGCTGGAAAGAGAGACCAAGGAAAATCCCCTGTTCACATACCTGCTTGTGCTTCTGGATCGTCTGGTTGTGCTGTAGCTTTTGGGGGGAGTTTTAGAACGTTTCTTTTCTTTCTCTTCCTTCTTTTTATCCCTTTTAGTAAAAGAGAGATTGTCAGGTTAAGTCATTTTCAAACCATTTAAGCAGCAGTTCCTAATTTGCTACATAGGGAAAAGAAGGCAGTGCTGGTAATGACAGGGTGGCACAGTCTGGTCAGGATTTCTGAGGCCAGGCACATTATAATAATGGTTATGAATTATCTGAAGAAAAAATAAAAGCACAACTTTTACAGTTTCTCTGTACCAACAGCCCCAAATCTGCAAGTCTAGGTGCTCACATTTCCTGCTTTCCAAGGCAGCTATTGAGTGATGTTACAAGAAACTGTGACTTTAAAAAGAGCCACTGCTTCATTTTGTCCTGGGTTCTTTTTTTGTTTAAATCAAGCACCAAAATGTGGTAATTTAATTTCTAGCAAATAGTCTATCACAGAATCATAGAATCACTGAGGTTGGAAAAGCCCTCCAAGACCACTGAGTCCAACCTGTGCCCGATCCCCACCGTGTCACCCAGCCCAGAGCACTGAGTGCCATGTCCAGTCGTTCCTTGGACACCTCCGGGGATGGGAACTCCACCACCTCCCCAGGCAGCCCCTTCCAATGCCTGACCATTCTTTCCAGGAAGAAATTCCTCCTGATATCCAACCTGAACCTCTCCTGGTACAGCTTGAAGCTGTTTCCTCTCATGCTGTCCCTTGTTCCCTGGGAGCAGAGCCTGACCCCCACCTGGCTCCACCCTCCTGTCAGGGAGTTGCAGAGAGCCAGAAGATCCCCCCTGAGCCTCCTTTTCTCCAGCCTGAGCCTCCCCAGCTCCCTCAGCCACTCCTGGTGCTCCAGACCCTTCCCCAGCTCTGTTCCCTTCTCTGGACATGCTCCAGCCATTCCACGTCGTTCCTGAACTGAGGGGCCCAGAACTGCCCCAGCACTGGAGGCACCTCAGCAGTGCCCAGCACACAGAGACAGGCACCCCCCTGGTCAGGGTAAATTCCTGGTCAGGAGAGATTTCCTGAAGCCATTACCTGGTTTTGGATGTGCTCCTGGACCTCCTGCTTCTCTCTCTGGAATGAGATCTCCTTCGCCTGGGGCTTTTGGATCGCCTCCTACTTCTGGATTTGGAATGGGACCTTCTCCTTGATCTGCTTCTGGACCGTCTGCCAGGAACACACAACACAGGGTCAGACACAGGACATTCTGAGAGGCCTGTCACCATCGGGGAGTCAGTGGTAACAGCACTGCGAGGCACAACCAGATAGAAATGCAGAGAATTATACAGGACACAACGAAAAGTCTCAAATCAATCAGCCCTTACTAACCCACTGTACAGAATTATCAGTCATATTGCAGAGGAACTCTGGGAAGTCATGTTCAAATGAGAATAAATCTTCAGAACAGTAAAACAAATGAAAGGGGCCCTTTCAAGAAGTATTTTTGAAGGAATTCTTTCAGCTCTGGGAGGGTTTTTTAAAGCCCATGAGATACTTTTACCTGTGTCTGGATGAAGAAGGTGTCCTCCTCCTCCTCGAGCGTGACCTCGACCTTGAATGTCTTCTTTTTTCGTCTTTTTTGTCTGAAAAAGGAAAAAAACTCAAGCATTATTTTAGTATTTAAAAGGATTTTATAAAGGAAAGGACCTGGAGCTTCATGTAATACATATAAATAGATAAAGAAAATCTCATTTTGACATCTGAAATTAGGGCTTATCTACCATTTTCTTCACAAGAGGACAGAAAGAATGAACACATGACAGAGACATCTGACATAAGAGTTTTATGCAAAACTGAAGAAGTAAAAATTTAGAAAAGACTTAATTAAAATCAGTTAAAAGCTGGTGGCTGCAGGCCTATGGAAAGTCTTGTCCAAATTCCAGAATCTGCCATTTTGTGAGAGGCTAAAGAACCTCTCAAATGATTGTTTTGAATTTCCCACAAAAAAGCAAAAGCAACCAGCACATTTTTTCTGATATAAGACAAGAACAGGAGTTCTGTTCTTTCCCAAAAATCATCAGGAAGCTGCAAAATTGTATTTTCAGTGTTTCAAACTACTGCCTCTCAGATTTGATAGTTCTGACATTTGTGGGAGAACTGCTGCAGCTTGTTCTAAAATAAAATCTGCTGCAAAAAAGCTACAAAAAAGAGAATTATTTACAAACCTGCACAGATTAGGAACTGAGATAAAAGAAACCATCCCTGAGAACAAGCATCACTGGGGTGTCAACTGGTGAGGCCACTGCTGTTCCCATGAAATCTCAGAGACAGCAACAGTAACTGGGCATTTTGCAATCTTCAAATAAGTGAATTTTGGGAAAAATAATAGCTTAATTCCTGCCCCACCCTGTAGGACACACGGAGCATCCACTGCAGGTCAATTAAAACCCTGCCAGCTATAAATGCAGCCAATACAAAGCAGAAGCATTAAGCCAGTATTCTGCAGCCCATTAGCTTCTATCATGTACCACATCAAAGTGCATCCTGAAGGGAATGGCTCATCCTAGGGTCTGGAATTACCTGGCTCTATAGCAGCAGAGATTAAGGACTGTGCTTCTCGGACCCTCTTCATTGCTTCCTCTATTTCTTTACTGGAGGTATCTGATTTCAGACTCGGGGAGACAAGACCTGCAGCCACATGGTTCAACCTGGGGAACAGAGTTCCAGAAATTCATATTGATGAATCCAAGGGATACAGATGTCCACTGTCTGAGCCTGTTCTTAGAATCAGGGAATCCCGGAATGGTTTGGGTTGGGAGGGACATTAAACCTCATCTCAGGTTTAAACCTCCCAGGTAACTATCAGTAAGATAAGAGGGCATGGTCTTAAGCTGTGCCAGGAGAGGTTTAGGTTAGATATTAGGAAGAAATTCTTTACAGAAAGGGTAATCAGGCATTGGAATGGGCTGCCCAGGGAAGTGGTTGATTCTCCGTCCCTGGAGGTTTTTAAGATAAGACTGGATGTGGCACTTAGTGCCATGGTCTGGTAACCACGGTGGTGCTGGGATCAAGGGTTGGACTTGATGATCTCGGACGTCTTTTCCAACTCAGCTGATTCTGTGATTCTCATTCCACCCCCTGCCATGGGCAGGGACACCTTCTACCAGACCAGGGTGCTCCAAACCCCATCCAAGCTCCCAGTTGCCTCCAGCAGGACAAGGATTGGACATTGAATTCCCACAGATATTCTCCAGATCCCATGCAGTGCAATATAAGTGAACATTAATGCTTACTTTGGATCCACTGTGCTCATCAGTTTTAGGAGCTGATCTGCTGCAAGAGACTGTGAGGGGAAAAAAAACCAACAAGTTAAAATCATGTGTACTCAGGACTATTTGCCTTGAATGTCCCCTCAGCAGTGGCTAAGGCAGGAATTCTTCACAGATGGAAAAACCAGACCAGAACACCCCCAGACAAAGAGGAAAAGGCACATTGATCTGGTTTAACTGGAGGATGGCGGGAAGGTGTGAACATCACACTGCAGTGGTGCTCAGGGGCTTTATTTTCCACAGCAGCCAAACACAGGCCCTGCCCTGGACAGAATCAGGGCATAAAAACAGAAATATATAAAAATACACTGCTGGTGTGCATATATATATACACACACACATTTTAATAACCTGGTGTCCAGGGTATTTCCCTGTTAATTCAGGAGAACAGAGTCCTCAGAGAACAAAGCTTCCTGTCCGCTAAAGGCCTCAATGCCAATTTATGAACAGTAAACATCTAAAAATTCCATGAAAACATGTATTCTACAGCTCTTAGGAAAATCCAGGTGTTATTAGGATTAGTCACCTCCTGTACCAGTGAGGTATTAACAAAATGTTTAGTCCTCACTCATTTTCTTTTACGTATATGTAACAGTTTGTTACATTCAGCTGGTTTAATGCACAGGAGACAATTCTCCATCACACCAACTTCAGATTTTTCTAATATGCATTTAAAATATTTATTTTTTCCATTTGTAATTTCATTTTCACCATGATTTGCTTTTCCTCCACATGGAATGCATAAAAAGAGTGCTAAATGCTGGGTTTGTCAGCAGTGCATTTAATTATTGCTACTGTACAGTATTTGGTTCTTGTATCTTAAAAATTCTATTTGTAAATATATGTATATGCTCAATATGTTAATATAGTTTTATATATTTAGATAAATATATTCAATATTCTATTATTACTTAGTATGTTAAGTCTTTTTATCCAGCTTTAACAGCCTAACAAAGTCTCCTATCTGTTTTCTACACCTAAAAGATTAAGAAGTCAAACTATTTTTTTTACTCTAAGTACAAGACAGGCTCATGACCTGATTATGACACATTTAAAATATTTCATTACTATTCCCAAATTATTTCTCAGGCCTTTCCAGCATTTAATTTGATATTCAAGCAGATACTCTTTATTCCAAGCAGGTTCTCACAGAAACCAATCACTGGAGTTTCCAGGCAGTATATAAATGAAAATTACTTTTAAAATAGAAAAGAGGGGGGACAATGAAGGGTATTTTGGGCCATACCTGAGAGTTTAGGTTTGCTCCAGGAAGCCCGAGAGCAGCAAGGGCAGGATCAAGAGCAGGAGCTCCTAAAGCAGCTAAAGGAACAGCACCAATCTGGGACAGAGATAGCAATTAGAGCACAGTCATTAATAAAAACCTGGGTTAGCAAGGAGAAAATCAACATTCCCACACATGAGACATGTAGAAATCTGAGCTGGGCTTTACTTCAGCTTCCAGCTACAGGAAACATTATACAAAGGTCAGAGAGAGTGTTTCAGGATTCCTTATTCAGGGATTCCAAAGTTTACTATATATGAAAGTGGATGGAGTTGCGCTTCCTCTGCATCCTGACAGGTGTGTGTGGGGGGGGAAGGCAAAAAAGTAAAGTAAAGCATTCCACCAAATTCAAGGAATAGTTTAAAATGAAATGATTTTCCAGTGCTAAAATGAAAATTCCTTATAAGTTTCTGAGGCAACCACCTCATTTCTAATTCAATTTAGGATTGAAATGAATGTTTTATGTTAAAAGGCAATGTAACAGTATTACATCTTTGCAGATTTCTCAGATCTGGTTAAAACTGGCAAATGGGCTGAAAAGCTACTGGAAGAGCAAGTAGGATAATGACATAGGTCTGAATTCCTTTAATTCCTCCAGAAGCCTCCTTAAAGCAGCTCATGTTTGGCCATTTAAATTGACTGAGATGATCAACAGACACTGAAACCAAACACACTTTCAAGATGTGTTTGAAAAAACTGACTTCACTGAATTCCCATCACATGGACGTGTTAAATACATTCCACCATTAAGTGCACTGGGACCAGGTTGGGATTCAGAGTGACAGAGCTAAAATTAACGTGGCTTAACCACCACTTTCAGGAATTCATATACACAGTTCTCAGTGAACAGAATCAGGCTGTATTTGGTTCTTCCAACCCTTTCCTCGTTTCCAAGTTTAAATTCAGGATTTTCCCTCCACATTGGGTTAAAAGCTTCTGAGCAGCTCCATGGCAAGGGGATCCTTCAGCTAAGCTGAAGTAGGTTTGAGAACTGCAGAATTAATGAAGCTTTATTATTATTAATTTGCCTCTTGACTTTGATTCTCTGTTCCCTGGTAAGAGATGTGTGTTCCCACAATGTATTACTCTCACTGTTCATCTTCCACACGAATTCTTGTGGGTTCAGATAATGAGGCTCCAATTTTCCCCTCAGCTGGAGTATTAATGAAAGGAATCTCCCAGCATGGCAGCTCCTTGGACTCCATGAATTTAAAACCTATGAGATCTCTACTGCTGGCAAATCTGCAAGTACAATGGATAAAAAGGGATGGGAGACAGAAACAAACAGGGCCCTGAGACACCAGAAGCATCATTTCAGGGAAATAAGAAGATCCCATTTAGCAACTAATCACTGTTTTGCCCCAATTCGTATCAGAGCTGTAACAACCATCAGGGTTTGGAACTATTCTAGGAATTGGCACTAGCACATCAGGCCTGAAAAAAAGAGCAGGAATGAAGTGAGAACCCAGCAGAACACACCCAATGGTCTCCCCTGGCCCAGCCCAGGTGAGAATTTACCTGAGAGAGTGGGTTGGGAGTGGGCAGCAGTCCACCTCCGGGCAGCAGCCCAGCCACTGCATTAGCTGGTGCCAAGAGAGACAAAGCCTTAGTCTCATCAGGAATGACTCCTGCAGAGAAACAGCCTGGCATTAGAGTGCATCCCATCCCAGAGGCAGAAAATACACAAATACACCCAGCAAAGTCTCCCTGATACACCACCTGAGTTTGTTGAAAGTACTTATGTTGGCTAAAATACAAAGCTTGATGGCTATTAATATTTAGCATTAACTTTTTTGTCAGAATGCAACTTCAATGGGTGAAAATTTGACTGTTCCTTTTTCTCTACAAAAGGTTAAGTTTCTAGAGCAAAAAAATAGCACAATACACACTACTTTTTTGTTAACACTGCCAAGGTTTCATCACCTGTACTCGATTTTTAAGTCATGAACCAAACGTAAGCAAGCACAGTCGGTTCTCCAGGGGTGTGCTCTCAACTTTCAAAAGCTGTTTTATGAACAACGACTCGTGTCGGCTGCTTCACTACAAAGCACACAGAAAAATCAAGATACACAAGACAAAAAAAGTTTGATTTAGGGGTTAATAATATGGTACAGTTCACTATTGTTTTCTTTTACACCTACCATACAAATTTTGTCAAACTTAAAGAGAAGGGATGGATATTTGGGGTTGAATCAAGCGTAGGGCTTTTGCTGACGTGTCATATGGAAATGCAAGTCCCTGCAGGTCTCCAAGAAGGCTGTGTGTGTGTCTGGGGGTGGCTGGTGGATACAGGGAATGGTGGCACATTCCTTACCTGTGCAGTAAAATGCATTTGTTCCATTATGTGCCACGCTTAGTGTACCAAGAATGCTGCTACAAACTGCCATGGCAGGGGGAACTTCTGGCCCAAAATCTTGCAGCCAACTAAGACAAACGTCTTATTTCTCTGCCTGCTCTGCACAGGGAATTTTAAGGGCCCTACTAGGAAACAATAGTGTAGGTATTTTTACTCTATCCAACAGCAAAAGCCCTATACAGATGGATTAATTTGTTAATGTGCCCAAGCCCCCAAAATGAGAGTTCAATAAAACAATTTTACTATATATTTGCAAATACCAGTAGTGTTTCTGTAATACACATTAAGAAACTGCATCTCATCATAAAACATACAATATGTACAGGGCACTTAAGAGAAACTGGATAAGCTGCAGAAGAAAACTGTTGGGTGGTATTTTCAGCAGGGCCTGGTATATAGTTCAGGCTGAACCAGGGAAAAGAACTGTAAAACACAACAACAAAAAAGAAAAACCACTGTTAAATAAAGGTAATGGTTCCTCCCACCTATACTGAGAAGTGCCGATAATCTACATAAACGTACAATACACAGCACTGTTATCTGGCCCGTGGCACTGAGCTGGCAGCAATTTAGATACCCAAAGTTATGGAGGGACAGGGGGAAAAAGGTCATGGAGGCAAAGGGCAGTAATGCATAAATATATCAACATACCTACAGAGAGATTATGGGGTCATTTTGCATGCAAAATTATGTCTCAGAGGATATTTATCAATTATAGCTAAACATTTCAAATTAGTGCAACTACAACATTTCTGGCATCTAAATACAAATCCTCAGACTTAGCTCGAGACACCTCATAGAAGATCTGCATCCATTAAAAAAAAATCATGCATCTGATCCTCTAATTGTTTCTTTAAAAAGTATTTAAATAAACTACAATTGAAAAAAAGCAATGAGGCCCCTCACCAGTTAATTTTCATGCTTCAAGAGCTTTTTTTACTGCTGCTTTGTTAGAACCATGAAATACTGCATGAATGTGTAGAAATGAAAGAAAAAGAAACAGACAAAAGAAACAAACATTAACCAAAGAACCTAAACACCCCCCCCAGCCATCTTTAACCTTAAGAGTTCCTTCCAAATCCAGGAATAGCCCAGAGAAAATGACAAATACTAAACCTTACCGTAGCCTTTGTGTATAGTTCTATAACACAAAGCAACAGCCACCACCAAAGTGTCTGTGTGAGCTAAAACTTGGGACAGGGGGGGAATTATTTCACTGAACAGATAATAAACATTTGCTTTAGTGACAGGCAATATTGACACAGATTAATCAGCACAGTAAAAATCTGAGAGAGGAGGGCCCCGTTCACAGTAGTTCAGCACACGCCTGGCTTTAAGCACATGAGCAGTGTCACTGGGGTTTTAAACTTGCTGTTTGGTGCTCAGTTTGTTCAACTGGGACCCTGGCAGTCTGAATTTTAAGGGAAAACTGTTCTCCAGCTCAGGGACAGAACCATGGGATTACCAAACCAGGGGCAATACTTTATTGGCTGAACATATCTCTTGTGATATGCCAAAACCATCAAATTCTGAACTGCTCAAACACCACAAGGTACAGCCCACGAGGAACTCCTTGATTTAACAGGCCCATTACAATATTCTGCTTTAATAATTTGATTTTCTTTACACAATCTCAAGCAAAACTACTGGGCAGGTTTCTCTGTGTGCCAGATTTATCCACAGTGGACAAAGTGAGACTGACCAGGAGAAAAGTGGTTTTATCCTTGTAGGAAGAGTTAAACACTGACATTATTCACATGGGCCTTGGAGAATATTCCAGCACTAACTCAGCTGGACTGGTGCTGTATTTAACACACAGACAAGGACAAGATGCCTTTCAGCTCTGCTATTACACCTCAACTAGTGGCAGCAGGAGCAGTAACTCCATTGCAGGGGGGGTTCTGTACCCTCAGAAAGCAGCACAGCTCAAAGGCCACACTGCACATTCCTACACTCCAGGGATTAAGTTTTATCTGTTAAGTTTAAATTTCATATCTTTTAAGCTTCAGGAATACAAAGATAAGATAAGACAGCTCCCCAGGCTTTAAGAGACAGCTACAGCATTACAGTGTCTTGATTACAGGTCTGACCCCAGGTCATGTACCAAACTTAATCTGCAAGATTTTATTAAATTCAAGCTTTCCCAGAAGTAAATCAAGAAAAGTACAAGTACAATGGAAATCAGTTACTTCTAAAGCAAGTCTAGAAGAGTTTAATAAGACTTCTGTAAGAAGAGGTGTCTTCTCAGCACTTTGCTTTTAAGGTAAGTTCCAAAAACCCTGCTCATTGCCTTTCAAATTACTGTAACACCCTAAAATGTAAAAATAAAAAGAAGAAGAGAAAATGTAGTTAACAAGTGGTTACACCAGGAAAACACTTGGGGACTTGAGTGCTTGCTGGCCTTTAGTTAATGGCTAGAATCCCCTGTAGCTGCAGAGGACCCACTGTTTTTCAGTCATCTGGAAGGGCTTTGCATTTGCCTTCTCCACTACAAAAATCACACACACAAATAACAGAGAGAAGAGTTTATTATTTAGCAAAATTCTATTAAATATATCAAGGATGAACAAGAAAACTTGGAATAAAAAACTAGGACCAGTGCCCATGTGGCACCTCTTGGAAGATATCACTTTTGAATTAAACCATAATTATTCAAACCCTTGGTATATTGGACTCCACAAGGAGAGTGAGGGCCTTTTTGGGATGTTCCCAAATAAATGCAGTGACAGCATATCCCAGAGGAATGCTAGTTCCTCTCCCATGCACTCCAGGGAGGGACAAACCATTCTCATGAAGAGAGTGAAAGTAGTAAATGCTTAATTATTAAGGCAAAAGTTGCTTAAAATATTGACCTGTTTGCATTTAAGTCTGTTTGGGAAATGTCTCATTGAGACAGATACAGAGCAAAATTTGCAAACAATTCTGCCTAAAATGTTATTATTCTAAACTTTAAGACACACAAAACCTCCCACTTTCATGAGGTGAATGAAATCATTGAGCCCAGGGGCCAAAGGCAACATACCAAGGGTTTCAGGATGGAGATATTTGAGTGTTTGACATTGGACTAACGCTGGGTTTTTTGTACTAGACAGGAATGAAACCCCACCAAAGGTGGCTCCGTGGGCCATTAAACAAGTCACAAACCTTCTGCATAGGGCACCACTATGAGGGCTCTGTCCACGAACACGGTGTTTGTCAGGTGCTGCGCCACCACCGCCGAGTCGGGGTCGTGGAACTTCACAAAGCACACGCGCGACGACACCGGCAAGGGGGAGTCACTGCGGGAGAGAGACAGGGAACCAGTTACCAGGGGTCACACCACACCCAGTCAAAATTGCATAAATAACCTTTATTGCCTCACTTGAACTGGGCAGTAGTTGTCAGGTTCAATATATTCATGAGCAGGCACCTAAATGCAACTTAATTTTTGTCTGGGAGAAGGGAAGGAGGCCAAAGAAAATGCTGCTGAGAAAGATAAAAAGTTACCAACTATGTATCTGTTAAACCCAGGGGTTTTACACTCCCTGATCTAGGCCCCAAATTGCTAATTAAGGTAAATTATAACAAAAAGAGGGGGATGATTAAAAGATCACTGTGACTTGTGACAAGGGCAGTGTGGGGACAGGACATGGGGTGATGGCTTTAAGCTGCCAGAGAGTGGGGTCAGATGGGATAGTGGGAAGGAATTCTTCCCTGTGAGGGTGGGGAGGCCCTGGCATAGGCTGCCCAGAGAAGCTGTGCATGCCCCATCCCTGGAAGCGTCCCAGGCCAGGTTGGACAGGACTTGGAGCAACCCTGGGATAATGGAAGGTGTCCCTGCCCATGGCAGGGGGTGGAACTGGATGGGCCACCATTCTGTGATTCTGTTTTATTCATCAACCCAATTTCATACAAGCTTCTAGACCAAACTTCACCATTCAGCCTCTCCCACGCACAGCAATGCCATGTTCATCCTGAGGGATGCACAGTGCTGAGCTTGTGTCTGTCCTTCAGTAGTGAAGAACAAAACACAAGTTTCAAGAAACTCAGCCAGGCAATGCTACAGTTCACTCTACTGAGTGAAAAGCTCCTTAACACAGACCTCCCTCCCTACAAGGGAGGTCTGTACCTACCCCTCAGCTCAGAACCAGCCTATCTAAAAAAAATCCCAGACAATGAAAATCCAAAAGAGAATCAAGACACTGAGTCATTTAAAAAAAATAAAAAAACCTGCGGAAATATCTACTTCCTACAACAACCGGAAAGAATTGTACAACTACAGCTGTGCGTTCCCTAAAATAAACTCCCAAAAACTAGATGCAGAGTCAACTCAGTAAAGGTCCAGAATGGATTAAAAAAGTCCCTATGTCCTGAAAGTGGTGCAGATTTTCCTTTAATTGGATGTATAAAGTAAAGGACAGCAAGTAAAATTATTCTGCAGACAGAGCTGTGCAACAGATGAGTTAAAAGCTGCCTCCAGAAGGCACAGGAAGAAGCAGCCAGTCCTGAAGCCCTTGTTCCTACCCCAGGCCAGGGCACAGCTGCTGTTTTTTCTGCCCTCAAGTATCAGGGGCACAGATCAGCCTGAAGAGCTCAGAAAACACTGATTGCTGACAAGGATCTATCTTTCCTTATTGGATTCCCAGACAATTCAAAGACAAGCTCTCCCAGTGCATCCCCCCGCCAGCACAGCTTTATTTGGGTTGCTGGAGGCTGATCAAGCCTTTCAGCACTGGGAGTTGTCAAAATTCAGGGGAACGACTCTGGCACACCCAGACAGAAATCCAGGGTCTATTTTGGTCTCTGCAAATGCCAAACCCTCTCTCACCTTCACCACCACCTCAGCCCAATGTACACAACTCAACTACTGCCCACAATGTCCCTCAGATCACACTTTAATAACTTTAAATTTAACCTCAGCTGAGAAACTAGATTGGAACCAGCACACTGCAGTTTTTAAAGCATTAAAATTAGTAACAGCCACTTGCTCCAACAGCTTGAATAAATAACAGATTGAATAAATTGGGAAGGAACTGCAGTGATAAACGGCCCAGAGATAGAAATATTGAAACTCTGAGCCCTTTTGGACGCAGGAATCCACAGCTGAAATAGTGCCTTTTTAACCCATAATAAGAAGTAATAAAGTAATTATTATTAATAATTATTATTAATAAGAACAGATAAATAACTAAGAAATAAAAGTAAACATAATTAATAATAACCCCCCCAAAATAATTAATAAAAATGTAAAATCAAAGAAGCAGGCGTTTAACAAAATCTCCATAGTAAAACTGCAAAGAAAAGTAAATCAAGGAGTGATGGCAAAGTTGTAGGATTTACTCATCTAAGTTGTAAAAAAAATATACAACTCATTACATAAAAGTAATACAACATTTTCAGGCATTCTTAAAATGTCTGTGATAACAAAGGAATGTTATCAAGGACACAGAGCAGACTCTATTGAGTCTTTAGCAGATCTTGTTTACAGCCAGAAGCACCACAAGGAATGCTTTGAGATAGCTGAGTTTTTCCTAAAATAATGAATATAACAAACAACTGACAGTGTTCGGCAGTGCCTCTGCAGCCTGACATCTCATATGCATCTGTGTGCTGCACTTTTAAAAATGGCATTTCCAGTCACTCTAAAATCCAAGCTGAATGAAATCCATCAAGAACTGAATGTTCTCAACAGTTCCAAAAAAAGCCACCATCCATCATTATTGTAATTCAGTAGAGATTGATACACACTCAGTAATTGTCTATCAGCCTGGATACACGAGGATTTTCTGGGGCTGAACAATGGGCCTGGAGTACAGGAGACTCAGGAATCCATTCCCTCCAGGATTTTCTGGGGCTGAACAATGGGCCTGGAGTACAGGAGACTCAGGAATCCATTCCCTCCAGGATTTTCTGGGGCTGAACAATGGGCCTGGAGTACAGGAGACTCAGGAATCCATTCCCTCCACTTTCCAGTTTGGATGAAGCTTTATGGAACACAATAAGGAAGAGAACCAGGCCATGGAGCTGGGGGAAAGCAGGAGGAAGAGGGAAGTAGAGTTTGGGGAGGGAGAATGGAAGAAGTCACAAAGTTGGTTGTGGATTAAAGATAAATGTGAAATAGGTGATTAATAAACTGGAATAAGGGGATGGATAGGAGAGAGAAAGAGAAATGTAGAGAAGCTTGGGAAGTTATGTCTGATCTGGCAGCCCAGGAGAAAAAGGAAGTTCTGGAGAAGACAGCAGAGTCAGAGTGACACAGATCAAACAAGGAGGTGGAGCAAGGGAAGTAGGATTGGTTACTCAGAAATGCTACAGGCAAGAAAGAATCCCAGCAGGATCCAGGACACAAAGGAATTGAGATGGAGAGAACTCACAGACAATAACTTGTATCCTGTATCCCCCCAAAACTGGATGAACACCATGGGCAGGGAAAAGTCAGGACCTGGAATTTAAAGGAGAAGGGACAGAAAAAGGAACAGCAAAAGAACCTGTCACTATTAGAAAATGAGTGAAATGGAACTGGGGTCTCTGAAGCACCTCAAGAGCAGATCCCTGAGCACCCCAGGGGCTCCAGAGGTGCCAGAGCCCTTGGTACACAGAGGGAAGGACACCAAACCATACAAGGAATCTCTTAACAGATTAGTTAATGAGTATCTAAAGCTACAAAGTTTTACCATTCACCTCTAACAACCTTCCCGAAAAATGAGGCCAAGTGTTAAAACCCAGAGCAGACATGAAACAACTGCACCTTTTACAGGTGAGTTCTCTCCCATCCCACTACAGTTATCCCAGCTGGGAATGAGAACTCATGGCTGGAACTGTCCCTGGATTTTGGGTACAGTTACATTCCAATTCCAACCCGAAACTGCCAAGACAAAGACACTGCAAGAATACCAGTGCACACTCAGCTGTCAGGATGGCTGGGTTTCCCTTGGTTTGTCCTAGCAGGGATTGAAGACTCAGTGAGACAAAAAAAGAATATAATGCGATAGCTTTTTTCCTCTAAAATAAAAAATCCAAGTACCTTTGGGCATTACAAATAATTGACTGAGTTCTTGTTTGATTATTCTCCAATCCTTTTTCATCATGGCAAAACCAAACCCATTAACTTACATAATGAATATGCAAAACAGCAACAGAAAATGACATCAGATCTATAAATCCAATCAAACAGACACAACCATCACCAGTGTTAACACTGAAGCTCCATATTGCATCAGAAAGGATCCTGAAAGCCTTAGTGTCATCAGAATTAAATTGCAAGTAAAGACATAAAAACTAACTTAGATTTTTTTTTTGTTTGTGGATACTTCCACATTACTGAGGTACCTGAAACTTAATTTTCAGATTATATACACATGATAAATACGTATAATTTGTATATTAGTGGTTACCTGACCATTTTGCACAGAATTCTCGCAAAGAATGCATATATATGTATATAAACTTGAGTTTTACGGCCATAATCCACAAACTGCTACAGTTCTGGAGATGATCTAGACAGCAGAGGCTCTCTGGGCACAACCCCGGGCCAAACGGGCATTTCCTGGGAGGATCACACGTGTAACCACACGCCCTAAATTACCGCCGTCTCCCCGCAATTCCTGCTGAGAACTCAAACCCTTTGGGGTGCGCGGTGGCTCCGCCTGAGAACACCGGGGACCCCCGGGGGGGAGAGCAGAGATTCCCCAAGCGCTTCCGCAAGGGGGGCCCGCGGCCGGGCGGGACCCCCCGGGGGCCGTGGGGGCGGCCCAGGCCGGGATCCGCCGGGGGCCGTGGCGGGGCCGGGCTGGAATCCGCCGGGATCCCTCGGGAGCGGCGACGGCTCGAGAAGGGATCCCCCGGGATCCACAGGGGCGGGAGCGGGGGCGACCCGGGCCGGGATCCCTCAGGATCCGCCGGGAGCGGGGGAGGCCCGGTCCGGGCTGGGCGGTGCAGGCGGGCGGAGGCGGCGCTGGGCCGCGGGGAGGGCGGGGGAGGGGGGGCGGCGGGCCCGGGCCGCACTTACTCGGGGGGGAAGAGGCGCAGCTCCTCGATCTTGCCCAGGAAGCCGAAGAGGGTCCGCATCTGCTCCGAGCTGGCGCTGGGAGAGACGTTGGTGACCTGGATCACGTCGGTGCCGCTGCTGGAGGCCATCGCGCCGCCGCCCGCTCCGCCGGT